GCTGCAGAGAGAGAAAGAGAGACTCGTTCAGACAACACACAGGGCAAGCCGAAATATTCTGAAGTGTGGTTACATTTCTAGGGCCATATGGTTTCTGAGAAAACGCGGACGGGATCGTGGAGTCCATTCATAAAAACGTGATTTACGGGATTTGTAAATGTTGGACGAATAAATCAAAAGTAGGTCCGCTACTTAATTCGAATCGCGATATGAACTAGTGTCTGTGAATATTAAAACGCAAAAAGAAGGTGTATGAATGTATGTATGAATGGCGGAAACGCGGTTTTGTTTACTACACAAATACTGAAGCACGCGTGACGCTCGCGGTGATTTCCGACCTCTGCGTCTCACGATATGACGGCTTGAACACAACGTAATCTCCAGAGCTGCTGTGAGAGTCACTTTACGAGAATTTTACCGTTTCATTTGAGGAAACTAGCATCCTCATACTGTATACACACAGAAACTTCATGGCAGCCTGTCAAAATAACAGTGCATGTAACAGAAATGTATTACTCTTGTATTACTGTTGTACAGTATAATGTACATCTTTAAATATTCCATTTTCTATCAAATTTAAATAAAACAATTAAATGATAAAAATAAATATTACGACCAGATTAATCACTTGTTTATTGTTCAAATGTTTAAAAAGAAATATTCGCACAATTTTTCTTCCATGTATTCATTTCAACAGTAAACCTCAGTTTGTTTGCCAAAAAATAAAAAGGTTTAATTTTCATTTGACTTAAAATAAATGTTTAATGCATTCATTTGAGTTTCAGAAAAATTCAAACAAGAATTTCTGGAGGGAAAAAAAGAAGAAAAAGTTTGTAGGGCACTATTGTTCAAAATGTTGAAATTTAGACTTTTGGAATTATTTTTTCACTGAAATAAATGTTTTTGTAATTACACAGAGTAAAGTACCGGAAAAAGTTACCGTTGGGTACCGATACCGGAATTCAGGTACCGATACCGGTTAAAATGTGAACGGTACCCAACCCTAATGGACACCCAGGTTTCGCACACGAGAAGTTCTGAAGGCCGATAAGCTGCCCAGATCTAGGCTGGTAGCCTGAGAATGATCAGTAGGACTAACCTCTGTTTTATCTCCATTTAACGTTAACATTGTTTGAGCTAGCCAGATCTCTAAGCACCTTCCTAAAGTACTAAGTGCTGAAGGATCATTTCTCTTAATGGGTGAATAAATCTGGGTTATCATCAGTGTAGAAATGACAAGACACCCCATGCCTTCTTAGAATGGAACCCAGAGGAAGCATGCACGGGGAAAAAGGGAGGGTGCCAATATCGAGCCTTGAGGGATGCCACAGGAACGCGGACGGGATCGTGGAGTCCATTCATAAAAACGTGATTTACGGGATTTGTAAATGTTGGACGAATAAATCAAAAGTAGGTCCGCTACTTAATTCGAATCGCGATATGAACTAGTGTCTGTGAATATTAAAACGCAAAAAGAAGGTGTATGAATGTATGTATGAATGGCGGAAACGCGGTTTTGTTTACTACACAAATACTGAAGCACGCGTGACGCTCGCGGTGATTTCCGACCTCTGCGTCTCACGATATGACGGCTTGAACACAACGTAATCTCCAGAGCTGCTGTGAGAGTCACTTTACGAGAATTTTACCGTTTCATTTGAGGAAACTAGCATCCTCATACTGTATACACACAGAAACTTCATGGCAGCCTGTCAAAATAACAGTGCATGTAACAGAAATGTATTACTCTTGTATTACTGTTGTACAGTATAATGTACATCTTTAAATATTCCATTTTCTATCAAATTTAAATAAAACAATTAAATGATAAAAATAAATATTACGACCAGATTAATCACTTGTTTATTGTTCAAATGTTTAAAAAGAAATATTCGCACAATTTTTCTTCCATGTATTCATTTCAACAGTAAACCTCAGTTTGTTTGCCAAAAAATAAAAAGGTTTAATTTTCATTTGACTTAAAATAAATGTTTAATGCATTCATTTGAGTTTCAGAAAAATTCAAACAAGAATTTCTGGAGGGAAAAAAAGAAGAAAAAGTTTGTAGGGCACTATTGTTCAAAATGTTGAAATTTAGACTTTTGGAATTATTTTTTCACTGAAATAAATGTTTTTGTAATTACACAGAGTAAAGTACCGGAAAAAGTTACCGTTGGGTACCGATACCGGAATTCAGGTACCGATACCGGTTAAAATGTGAACGGTACCCAACCCTAATGGACACCCAGGTTTCGCACACGAGAAGTTCTGAAGGCCGATAAGCTGCCCAGATCTAGGCTGGTAGCCTGAGAATGATCAGTAGGACTAACCTCTGTTTTATCTCCATTTAACGTTAACATTGTTTGAGCTAGCCAGATCTCTAAGCACCTTCCTAAAGTACTAAGTGCTGAAGGATCATTTCTCTTAATGGGTGAATAAATCTGGGTTATCATCAGTGTAGAAATGACAAGACACCCCATGCCTTCTTAGAATGGAACCCAGAGGAAGCATGCACGGGGAAAAAGGGAGGGTGCCAATATCGAGCCTTGAGGGATGCCACAGGTGAGAGGAGCAACAGAGGAAGAGAAGTTACCTAGTTTGACACTACATTTTCTGTCGGGTAAAAATGACTGAAACCATTTAAGGGATCGTACCTTTTAGGCCCACGTCTGACTCTAATCTAGATATCAAAATAGTGTGGTCCACAGTGTCAAATGCTGCTGATAAATCTAAAAGAACCAGGACCACAGAATCACCAGAGTCGGTAGCTAAAAGGATATTGTGTAACACTCTGAGAAAGAGGAAGCTGAGAAACAGGAGGGGGTTTAATGTGGAGAGAACAGACTTTGGGTCTCAAATTAGAGATTTTATCAGTGAAGTGTCTCAAGAAGCTTTCACATAGAGCATTGGAGGCAAGAGGCACTGCGTTAACAGAAGGATTAACAACAGAATTAATAACTGAAAACATTTTTTTTTTTTTTAATTAAATCAGAAAAATGAGTAGCCTTAGCAGACTTGGCAGCAGACTGATAAGCTGATAAACTGTCTTTAAACAACTGAAATGAAATATGTAATTTTTGAGTGTGTGTGAGAGTGAGTGTGTGTGAGAGTGAGTGAGTGTGTGTGAGAGTGAGTGAGTGTGTGTGAGAGTGAGTGAGTGAGTGTGTGTGAGAGTGAGTGTGTGAGAGTGAGTGAGTGAGTGTGTGTGAGAGTGAGTGAGTGTGTGTGAGAGTGAGTGAGTGTGTGTGAGAGTGAGTGAGTGTGTGTGAGAGTGAGTGAGTGTGTGTGAGAGTGAGTGAGTGTGTGTGAGAGTGAGTGAGTGTGTGTGAGAGTGAGTGAGTGTGTGTGAGAGTGAGTGAGTGTGTGTGAGAGTGAGTGAGTGTGTGTGAGAGTGAGTGAGTGTGTGTGAGAGTGAGTGAGTGTGTGTGAGAGTGAGTGAGTGTGTGTGAGAGTGTGTGAGTGTGTGTGTGTGAGAGTGAGTGAGAGAATGAGGGTGTGTGTGAGTGAGAGTGGGTGTTAATGGTGAGGGAGAGAGAGTGTGTGTGAGTGAGAGTGTGTGTGTGTGTGAGAGAGAGTGAGTGAGTGTGTGTGAGTGAGAGTGGGTGTTAATGGTGAGGGAGAGAGAGTGTGTGTGAGTGAGAGTGGGTGTTAATGGTGAGGGAGAGAGAGTGTGTGTGAGTGAGAGTGGGTGTTAATGGTGAGGGAGAGAGAGTGTGTGTGAGTGAGAGTGGGTGTTAATGGTGAGGGAGAGAGAGTGTGTGTGAGTGAGAGTGGGTGTTAATGGTGAGGGAGAGAGAGTGTGTGTGAGTGAGAGTGGGTGTTAATGGTGAGGGAGAGAGAGTGTGTGTGAGTGAGAGTGGGTGTTAATGGTGAGGGAGAGAGAGTGTGTGTGAGTGAGAGTGGGTGTTAATGGTGAGGGAGAGAGAGTGTGTGTGAGTGAGAGTGTGTGTGAGTGTGTGAGAGAGTGTTAATGGTGTGAGTGTGTGTGTTAATGGTGTGTGTGTCTGAGTGAGAGTGTGTGTTAATGGTGTGAGTGAGAGTGTGTGTGAGTGTGTGAGAGAGTGTTAATGGTGTGAGTGTGTGTGTGTGTGTGTGAGTGTGTGTGTGAGAGAGTGTTAATGGTGTGAGTGTGTGTTAATGGTGTGAGTGTGTGTGTTAATGGTGTTTGGGAGTGAGAGTGTGTTAATGGTGTGTGTGTGTGTGTGTGTGTGAGTGAGAGTGTGTGTTAATGGTGTGAGTGAGAGTGTGTGTGAGTGTGTGAGAGAGTGTTAATGGTGTGAGTGTGTGTGTTAATGGTGTGTGTGTCTGAGTGAGAGTGTGTGTTAATGGTGTGAGTGAGAGTGTGTGTGAGTGTGTGAGAGAGTGTTAATGGTGTGAGTGTGTGTGTTAATGGTGTGTGTGTCTGAGTGAGAGTGTGTGTTAATGGTGGGAGTGAGAGAGGGTGTTAATAGGGCCTTTCGCACCGCAGGAACCTTTTCATAGTACCAGAACTAATTGTGGAACTACCCACTTTTCGGCATGTTCGCACCGCCGGAACTGGGAGCGATTTTAGTACCGGACTGCCTTTTTCGAGAACCAAATTAGCTCCTACTCCGGAGCAGGGTCTAACCAGCACAACTGGTACTAATCGTGACGCAAGTAGACATTGATTGGCCAAACACGTACGAAAACGCCCTCACCCGCCATGATTTAAAACTGTGTAAACATACGTAAACATTGTGTCAACTTATTTCGCAAGTATGGAGAACAGCGATAGATGGACGGACGCTGAAGTGCAGGCACTTGTAGCAAATGTAGCACAGCCAGTTGTCGTTGGAGATTCTTAGTCCTCCTTTCCGTTCTTTTAATCGCTTTACGTATACGTCGACTTTACATGTCCATTATTGTGAAACCCGCGAGACACAACAAACACACAGCTCCGATCACAGCGTCCTCCATCCTCCTGTTGTTAATGTAGTTCTTCTTTGTTTCTGTTGTTGAACACCGCGCACAAATGATGACGCTGTCGACCGGCTTACGTCACTTCTTAGTACACACTCTCGGTGCGAATGCAACCCTTTAAATGGTACTGGGAAATAGTTCCCGCAAAATCGTCCCAGTACTTTAGTACCGTACGTTTAGTTCTGGAACTAAAGCGGTGCGAAAGGGCCTAATGGTGTGAGTGAGTGAGTGAGAGAGAGAGTGTGTGTGTGTGAGTGAGAGTGTGTTAATGGTGTGTGTGTGTGTTTCAGAGGGTCTGCAGGAGGTCATTCTGTACACACAGCCGGATGATAAGAGGAAGAACCGCGGCTTCTGTTTTCTGGAGTATGAGGATCATAAGTCGGCGGCTCAGGCACGGCGCAGGCTCATGAGCGGGAAGGTGAAGGTGTGGGGGAACCCTGTGACCGTGGAGTGGGCCGACCCCGTCGCGGAGCCTGACCCCGAGGTCATGGCCAAGGTCAGTGTGTGAGCATGCACAGCTCTCTCTGTATGTAGTGTGATGTGTGACGATGTGCTGCGTCTCGTCAGGTGAAGGTGCTGTTTGTGCGTAAGCTGGCCACGCCGGTCACGGAGGAGCTGCTGGAGAACACCTTCTCTCAGTTCGGCAAACTGGAGCGCGTCAAGAAGCTGAAGGACTACGCCTTCGTTCACTTCGAGGAGCGAGACGCCGCAGTCAAGGTCAAACCTCTGCTTTTCATTACGATTTTCACACACTTACTGTATGTGTTATTGCACATGCAACCCTGTCTCCGAACTTTCCGAGATGCATACGTACAGTTTGAGTACTGATTTCATTATTTCTGCAGCGACTGTTAAGTAAACATAAAAAAGAAATGAAGATGATGCCGAAATGAGTAACAGGTTTATAGATCTAAGCTCCGTTCTCACCAAGGACGATAACTATAAAGATAACGATGTTAGCGTCCACACCGTCGCTTTAAATGCTCCAGCTCGTTACAGCAGGATGGATTCTGATTGGCTGTCAATGTTTGTATCGTTCATCAGCTGGAAAAAAGTGATTCCAGCGATATCGTTTCTCTGTGCCTTTATCGTTATAGCTGTGGTGTGGACGCTTTAATATTGAGAGCGATTTTTAAAACTGTATTTTTATAGTTATTTTTCCCCCTTCATAAATGTGAGGGTTTAAAAAAAAATCTAAATTATTGCTTGATTTTGTTAAAATAACAAACGGGCAATATAATTTTTAAACACTGCCGTGATAAACCCAAGCAGCGTGCATTAAAAAAGAAAAAATATATATTTATAAATATAAAAGCAAATTATAACAAATAAAACGTAACTTGGTTTATCTTTATTTAAGATATTTTTAAGGCACTCTTCTTATTCAGTCGCTTTAATAGAAGTTTTCAACTCATTTTAAATGCCAAAAACATATGTATTTGTATTGCTGTCATGCTTTAGAAAGGGCCCGATGATGTCACTTCCTGTTTCAGTAGGGATAGACGTGATGACATCAGTGTTTGTGCATCATTAGGACATCATAAACAGCCGTAGGTCTGCATGCACACTTTGTCATGAATAACATTTAAATATTCATCAGCCAAAAGAGGAAGCCCCCTCAGTGTCTGGCTGTGTATTTACTTCACTTAGCACAGCTTAGGATTCCCCAGAGCTCAGGCTGATGGGCTCCTCGTGTGTCTGCAGGCGATGCAGGAGATGAACGGGAAGCAGCTGGGCGGTGAGCAGATCGAGATCGTGCTGGCCAAACCTCCAGATAAGAAGAGGAAAGAACGACAAGCTGCCCGACAGACCAGCAGAAGCTCAGGGTGAGACGACGACACACTATCAGTACTCTAAATATGTTTTAAAGGGGTAAATGCAGTAGTAACATGGTAACATTCAAAACTGTTAATTCTTCACGTTACCATTCAAGTTGCTGTTCAAATACAGTACGGTTTTAATTAAAATATATCAAGTTGTGACCGTTTTATATTAAATAAAAGTTCTTCATGTCCAAACAGTTAGCATGCAGATTTTTAATGCATCATGAGGGTTAAAGGGGTCATCAGCTGCTCATTTTCCACAAGTTGATATGATTCTTTAGGGTCTTAATGAAAAGTCTATAACGTACTTAGTTAAAATTTTTCAATGGTAGTGTAAAACACCCTTTTTACCCTGTCAAAATCAGCTCTTTTCACAGCGAGCCGTTTCGGTGCATGTCCCTTTAAATGCTAATGAGCTCTGCTGACCCCACCCCTCTCTTCCGAGCCGCTCTCTGAGAGACTGTGAACTTCAGCCGCGGTACTGGCTAACTAGCGCATTATTAGAAAAGGAGATTTGCAAAGATTCATTGAAAACCTTACACACTTCTTCTGTAGATGAGGCTGGATCACGAATGATTCGCGCGAACATAGACGCATTTATGTAGATCAGGGTGCATTCCCTTCAGAAACAAACATAATCCACTGCGTCTTCAGCGGCTCAGATGTCGGGAGTAAATGACGACTGCTGTGTTCATTATTACATCCAACAACAGAACACCTCGATCGCTTAGGAGTCATTCTTGTCTGCACACTGCCTACACACATTTATGTAGAAGGGAATTTTGCATCGGGTGAACTTTATTTTTATGCTGTTTTTACAAACGAGGATGTCCCCAAAAGTCAGTTTTGTCAGGTTAAGCTCAGAAATGTGTCCCTGAACTGTGGTTTAGGTGCTGACGGTGTGTCTGTGTCCACCTGTGCAGGTATGACGAGTATTATTACTACCCTCCCCCCCGCATGCCTCCTCCGGGGCGTGGCCGCGGGCGCGGTGGGCGGGGCGGATATGCCTACCCGCCCGATTACTACGGTTACGAGGAGTACTACGACGACTACTACGGTTACGATTACCACGACTACCGAGGCGGCTACGATGACCCCTACTACGCTTACGACGATGGCTACTCCATGAGGGGGCGGGGCAGTGGGCGGAGCCGTGGAGCTCCGCCTCCCCCCAGAGCCCGCTCGGCTCCGCCCACCCGCGGCAGAGGCGGGTATCCCCCGAGGGGCGGGGCTCCCATGGGCGGGGGAAGGGGCCGTGGCGGGGGAAGGGGCGGGCCCTTCCAGGCCCCCCGGGGCCGCGGCATCAGAGGCGCGCGAGGAAACCGCGGCGGAAACGTGGGCGGGAAGAGGAAGGCAGACGTGTTTAACCAGCCGGACTCCAAACGCCGTCAGACCAACCAGCAAAACTGGGGCTCGCAGCCCATCGCCCAGCAGCCCCTGGGCTCCGACTACGCCGCCGGCTACGGCTACAGCAACGACTCGCTCGAGTTCTCCCAGGACTCCTACGGCCAGCAGTGGAAGTAGACGCGCAGCCCGCCCTCGTCCTGAGAAACTAGACCGTGATTGGCCAGCTGTGTTTGTTTGACTTTTCTATCCTCCAGTAGCCCTGTAGATTCTGTCCGTGGCCCCGGTGGGACGCTTGTCTTAAACGGACACAACACTTTTATTCCCACATCCTCCTTGTTTTAAACTCCACCATGAGCGTTTTAAAGAAGACACTGATACTTCCGAGCAAGCGTGCGCGTGAAAGGACGTTCAAATCATGAAATGGCCTTCCAGAAAGATGTCGTCCTTCCCGCAGTCCTCCGTTCTCATCGTCTCTCTCTCTCAGTGCTAGTGGCATAGGGACTCGCGTGTAAATAATAGCTGTCGACTAGAGCTTCGTTTCAGCTTTTTGTTTTACTTTTGTCTGGTTTTTTTGCAGAAGTGGAGAAAATAATCCACGAGAAGGAAAAAAAAAAAAAAGTTTTGTAGCAGGAGTGCTGTTTAGGTGTCTGTTTAGCATTTCTAGAAGTAGTTGAATTGTGTTTTTTAAAAACTGGTATACTGATATTATAACTTCAGATGTTTTTTTCCATTTGGGATTTGCTGGTGAGGGTTTGGTCTGGCTTACCTTAAGAGCTATGGCCGGCTGGTCAGATGTTTGTATTTATAACTTTTATTTTTTGTTTGTTCAGTTTCAATAAAACTCAATCGAGCAAATTTCACTGGTTTCTGCGAACTTCACGTAGTGAGTGTTTACGTGTGTGTTAGTGGGTGAGTAAGTGTGAGCGTGTGTGTGTAAGTTTGTGAGCATGTGAGAGTGTGCAAGTATAAGAGAGTGAGTGTGTGTG